CATTTAAATACATGGATGGCGATATACTAAAGAAATTGTTCATGACTTTTGTTAGGCCAAAGCTAGAATATGCAGTTGTTGTGTGGTGCCCATATCTTAAGAAGCACATCAACAAACTGGAAAAGGTGCAAAGACATGCTACAAAGTGGCTCCCAGAACTGAAGGGCAAGAGCTACGAGGAGAGGTTGGAAGCATTAAACATGCCAAAACTAGAAGACAGAAGAAAAAGAGGTGATATGATCACTACATACAAAATAGTAACAGGAATTGATAAAATCGACAGGGAAGATTTCCTGAGACCTGGCACTTCAAGAACAAGAGGTCATAGATTTAAACTAGCTAAACACAGATGCCGAAGAAATATAAGAAAATTCACCTTCGCAAATAGAGTGGTAGACGGTTGGAACAAGTTAAGTGAGAAGGTGGTGGAGGCCAAGACCGTCAGTAGTTTCAAAGCGTTATATGACAAAGAGTGCTGGGAAGACGGGACACCACGAGCGTAGCTCTCATCCTGTAACTACACTTAGGTAATTACTTAGGTAATTACATAACCTGCAGCTCAACCATCGTACCTCGTAGCATTGATGAGGTGGGTCCCCTGATCGACTCGAGCATGGGTTGGACATGCATATGAGTGGGACTGGACAGGTCGAAATAGGAACAGTCACCTGTGCGCTGACGGTCTTGTATCCGTATCCAAAAATATATTATTTATATTTTATATAAATATATGTATATAAATATATTTATATAAATATATTCGTATCCAGCGACTAATCGAAAGAGATTCCAAACCGCAGAAACTCACCTGTCGAACGTAGGCACGAACGTGTCACGACACAAAGTTACAGAGAAGATCCCGGGAGCAACGCCAGAGGAAGAAGGTCAGAGCTGCACACGCAGGAGAGCAAGGTAGAGGCAAAAGAGGCGCCCAACACCCATGTCACAGGGAAAACCCCGGCATCCTTCCCATAGCTGCAATCCAAAACACCCCAGGAGCTACGGGGCACGGACCGGAGAATGGAGAAAAGTGAGAGGCAATGCGAGAGGCAAAGCACCTGAGAAAAAACCAGCGTTGAATGTAATGAAACGCCATTTTCTGGGTGAGCCCCGGAGGCTCCCTGGAACTTATCGGGCTAATGTATGTTATATTAGACCGGGACATTAGCTAAGGAGTTCAGACCTACCAGGGACCAGTGCCAGAACCCGACCCCTTCAGAGAGGTTTCAGGAAGCAATGGCCTTGGAAAACCCCCTTGTGGTTGGGGTTTTCCATATCTGCCATCGACCAAGGTTAGGCACCCAGAAAGGTAGGCATAACAAACCCCACATATTCAAAAACTAAAACAAAAAAATGAACAGAGGTAGAAACTCTCTACAATCCCAAGGAAACAAGCAAACAAGAAAATACCACACTTTACTGCCGTGCCAATCGTCCGCGCAGCCCTCGCCCGCCCCGAGAGGGGGAGGGGGGCCCCCGGACCTCACCGCTCCGGCTGCCTAGCACCAGTTCAGAAGCTAAGCTTCAACCAACGCAAAAAAACGGCCGACCGGTGGGAGGGAGGGTTGCCAAGGAGCCTTCGGGGCTCACCCAGAAAATGGAGTTTCATTACATTCAATGCTGGTTTTCTGTGGGGAGCCCCTATGGCTTCCTGGAGCTTCATACCCAAAGAGAAGGAAAAAAAGGGCTGACCTGGGAGGTAGCCGCCACAAACTTCGCTACGCGAAGCCGAGACAACAGGCTGCAACCTGCGACCCAAGGCAACACAAGAACGCACAGGAGCAGACAAGCGCACAAAGAACGTGCAGCCAGGAACCTGTGCGACCCCCAAATCCTCGCACCCGAAATGAGCCCTAGACGTCACCAACACAGCAAGGAAAGCTGCAAACGTCTGAACGGCAAGGGCGCAAGAATAGACCACATGCTGGTAGATTTAAAAACTCTGCGGACGACCTGGGAGACCTGAGCCCTGAACAGGGAACGAGGGGAACTGGATCAACTTAAAGCGCATCCTCAGTCATGGTATGCAGGTAACGGCAAAGAGCCACAACCGGACAACACATGACACAGCCCCAGCCAAACCAACCAAGCATCAATAACCCAAGGACCCCTCCGGAAAACAGCCATCTAGACCGTCACCAGAAGGACAGAGAAAGGCTGCAAACGTACAAACCTACCACCAGTACCAAAAGAGCAGAAACCTCTGCACCGGAAGAGAGCTGGAAGCTCCCTGACCCGACCCGCAGGGGCCCATGCCAACAAAATATGGCCTATGAAAAATAATCTTGAACCAAAGGGGCTGCCACAAACTGAGGAAAAGAAAGATAAGAGGGCACCCTGATCAAGGACCAGGACGGCTCAGGCGACGCATGAGCAGGCCGGAGGTGAAACCAAACACTAGAAAGCTTACGGAACAACGTGGATGTGACGTCCATCCCGAACACAAGCTGGAGCGACTTGTGTATCCATCTCCGAGGCATAATCCGGGTCACGCAGGAGGTATTCTGCAAGGGCAGCCCGCACCACACCAGGTTGGATGCGATAAGCCGAAGTTCCGCTTAGTACCGGAAAGACGGAACCGACACACCCGGGAAAACATGGAACAGAACCCGGGAAGTGGCCGACACCAAATCCAACTCATAAGCAGAGGGGGGAAAAGAAAACCCCACACCTTGTAACAACAAACCCCGCTCAGAAGGAAGAAAAACCCAGGCGGAGTCCAGCGGGGACTAAGGCCCCCATGTCAACCCCTCCCCAGCCCCGAGGTCCTTCACAGCAGGACCCTGGGCCGAGTCCTCTCCCCAAGCACCGACCCCACAAGACAAGAACGGAGCAGCCGTAGAAGCCGGAAGAAAGGGGGCCCACTGGTCAGATCCAGAAGCTTTGGCCGGGAGACAAGACTCGAAAGCCTCCGCCCCCCCCCCCCAAAGGGGCATCCCCCGAAGCTGCCCGAGTCTCGAGATCAAGTAACCCCTGCTCCAACTCCAAAACCCTCAGATGTTTCAGGGCCGGAAGCAGGGGAGGGGGGGGGGGGGGGTCAGAACGAACAACAGAAGGGAAAGGACAAGGAGGTGCAGACTGAACTAGGATCGAAGCGACCCCCCATCCCCAAGTCCGGGTCTTGAAAAGCGAAGCGGCGACGCCCCGGGGCGTCCGGGTCTCGAAAAGCGAAGCGGGGACGCCCCGGGGCATCCGGGTGAGTAACCAACCGAGCGCGTTGCAACAGACGAAACCTAGCTTGCAGCACACGCACCATCTGTACCCGAATAGAATCAAAGGATTGGGTATATCGAGTCACAAGCAAGCAACAACACTCACAGGACTCCGGGTCGAAAGTATCACCGACCCAACAGGCAGCGTGGCGGAGGCAAAAACAATGAGGGTCCCCCTGAGACAAGGGGACTGAGCAACCCTCAAACTAGCACAAAGCGAGCGGGGACTCTGGATTCACATCCATTGGACCCATGCCCCATCCCTAGGAAATTCCTAGGGTCCTGAGCGTTTACTTTAAGAGGACTCGCGCTCAGGTAGTCCCAGGCAGGGTGCAGCTAACCAACGCCCAAAACTACCAAGCAAACCTCTATAGCTGAACCCCAGGGACGTGTACACTCACGGGAACCTAGCAGGGGGCGCCACTGAGGAGAACCGTGGAAGGGCAAACACCAGTGGAATAATAGGGCAGAACCCCCCACAAGGCAAAAACAAAAAGAAAAACAAAACCCCGCAAGAGGACAGCGAACCCTAAGGAACAGAGCCGGCTGCTATGTTGGGAATACAAAGCTGTGCAGCACCCTGCGCCCCTACCAGTGCAAGCTGCCTCTTACCTGCAGGTAACAAGGGAGAACAGAACACCCAAGAGCCCAACAGGCGACCGAAAAACCGAACGGTAGAACGGACCAGCAGAGGCAGGTCCCGAGGAGCCTGTGGAAGGTGGCCCCAAGCTCCAAGGGCAGTACTTACAGGGCACCTAGGGAAGACAGCTCTAGGCACATGCAGCCCGAGTACTGAAGATAACTCCTGGCTCTCGCACCCACAGAAAACAAATAGCACACATGAAGCACAGTACTGTAGCGACACTGGAGCCAGAGCACACGACCTTCGCCTATAGCATCAACCTCAAGAACTGAGGTGTGGGTAGCCAGCGTGAAGGGTCTGGGGCTCCCCCTTCCCCCTTCCCCCTCCCGAGGAGGGGGGGAGCTGCACAGACAGCGGCGCGGCGACGTGTGACTTCATACTAGTTTGCTCGTGTTCTGTTGGGGAGTTCTATCCACTAGTTCGGCTTTTGGTAGCAATTTTAACCAGAATAGGGATTTGTTTTGGGACACTTACCTTTCTGGGTGCCTGATCCGGTCGATGGCAGACATAGAATGCTTCCAACCACATGGGGTTTCTATAGGCCATTGCTCCCCTTGCCTCTCTGAAGGGGCCCGGTTCTGGCCGTGGTCCCCGGTAGGCCTAAGCACTCCATACACATGACTGATGCCAAAGTCTGACATTAGCATAGCAGCCTGGATAAGCTCCGGGGAGCCGAAGGGGCTCCCCCCAGAAATATAGTAGTAAAACAATGGGGATTTAAGCAGCAAGTAGAATACAAGTAAGAAACTCAGTACAGTAATTTCCTGAAAAGATGAATACAAGAGTAAATAAGAGCAGTAGAACTAACTAAGCATATTGTAATGTTGCAGCTGGTGAGATTCTAAGAACTAGGACAAAATTTACATGTTACAATGAGGAAGTGAAGGAAAGAAAGTGACTAAACAAATTGCAAAATTAATAATATCAACATGGTGAGAAAATTTACATGAATATGCCAAGACTTTGGTGAGTGTAGCAATAATGAAATTTAGTTTCTTGTATAGTAGAAAGCATATAGCATGCACTTTTATAAAGATAATTATAACAAGCTAAAAGAAATATTAACTATACTAGAAGTTTGTAATCCTTTAAATGAAAAGGAAAAATATTATGAGTGGGAAACTTTGAAATGTTGTAGGATATACCTGCACAGAGGATCCTCACACCAATCTTCATCTCTTAACTCTTCTTGCTCCCACAAGAAAACTTCATCCTCTTCACACTCAGGCAATAATGACCTAAGTACGGAAAACAATTATATTTTGCTTTAAAGTGCTAGCATCCTTTAATACCTTTACATACATATTTAAGATAAGAAACTATAGAAATAAGTAAGCACAACCAAGGAACCCATCACCCATCAATGCATTCATGATTCATGGAACTACAAAGGCTAATGAATAAGTATACATTAAACCCTCGCGATGGAGAAATAAAAACTTAATGGATTTGCAGTCTCTCCATAGAATTATTATTGTCACATTTGTAGATCTCAATGCATGGGATGAGCTAAGCTAGCACTTACCTGTACTCAAAAGGTCCCATAGTAGGTGGAAAGTTTGACAAAACAGCTAGACGATGAGGCAAACACTCTCCACCATGATAAGTAAACATTGCATCAACACCTTGCCAGTCATAATTACGGGCAAATTCTATTGTTGCAGAGATGGCCGACTGACTGCGAAACTTGTCAAAGAATGTTGCATCATAATGATCAGGTGCAACATGAGCACCACCAAGAAGCACCTGATAATAAAGAAACACAATATGTATATCCCATATATTTAATATGATTATACAGGGCGACTCCCAAGTTTGCAGTTGTATGAATGTTTACAATTGTTGATAATAACCACAAGGAAACAAAAAATGTAATTTTATGTAGTTGATTCCAGATTCTACGTGCATGGATTTTACACCCTCCACTTCTACACTGTGTTAAATACAGTGTAGGGTTTAATGCTTCATCATTCTGTGAAGCTCCTCACCTACTTCCCAAAGTTTATGTCCCAGAATATCATTAGGCCCTTTTAAATAAATCAGGCTCCTATAACTTTCAGGGCCTACGAAACCAAGGCCAGAATTTTATTCTCTCAAAGAAACGAGGAACATGTCCGGGTCAATGATTGACCCACAACCAAAGAGAACTGGCCAAAATTTTATAGGCAACAAGAAAACAAGCCACTGGTCTAAACAACAGATTAACATTAAGAAAACAAATGATAGTTGACAACTGATAAACAGCCCTTGCTATAACTACCCTAATTGTCACCAGGTGGCGACCTTTCATGTATATCTTGGCTTACGTTTCCCATTCCCCACGACAGTTATCTTGCGAGTTGTTTGGGTACTTCCTCTATGGATCACTTCCTTTTGAGCCATATCTATCCTGGAGAGTGTTCAGGATTTAACCCTATCACATGATAGGTTGAAATCAGATTTTGCTCAGTAAAATTCATCCATAGAACAAAAATTTTGTATGGTATGGAGAGGGGCGTGGGTGTGTGCAATTACCTAAGTGTAATTACGTAAGTGTAGTTACAGGATGAGAGCTACGCTTGTGGTGTCCCGTCTTCCCAGCACTCTTTGTCATATAACGCTTTGAAACTACTGACGGTTTTGGCCTCCACCACCTTCTCACCTAACTTGTTCTAACCGTCTACCACTCTGTTTGCGAAAGTGAATTTTCTTACATTTCTTCGGCATCTTTGTTTAATTCATTTAAATATGACCTCTTGTTCTTGAAATTCCAGGTCTCAGGAAATCTTCCCTGTCGATTTTATCAATTCCTATTACTATTTTGTACGTAGTGAACGTATCACCTTTTTCTTGTCTTCTAGATTTGGCATATTTAATGCCTCTATCCTCTCCTCGTAGCTCTTGCCCTTCAGTTCTGGGAGCCATCCTGTAACTACACTTAGGTAATTACTCGTGTTCCGAGGTACCACTATATATACACCTGTATATGTATATATGTGTATATATGTACATATATGTATATATTAGCATATTTTGGTAGCAGTCTTTCTTGTAAACATATGTTGTTGAATATGACCGAAAAGGTAAGATTAATAATTCTAACACAAATTTTCTCAATATTTCTTATGTTTTTCTTCACTGTACGTGGTAATAAAAATATCAATTCTCCAAAATTCATTTTTTAATTGTCTGACGCCTGAACGCATTTCGTAATGCTTATTACATTTTCATAGACTTAATTTACACACAGATTCATCGAACTTATACTCATTTTGGGTCAGGTGATATGGTACAAAGTTTTGGGTGAGGTGAACAAACTTATGACAAACACAAAACAGAACACGAAACAATGGGTATAAATTGGATATAAAAACTGCAGAAGGCCTATTGGCTCATACTTCCTCTTGTTGCTTCCATATTGGTTAGGAGTCTTGAAGTGGGTAGAATATAGTGTTGCTTTTTTTTTTTTTTTTTTTTTTTTTTTTTTTTTTTTTTTGAGATATATAAAAGAGTTGTTACATTCTTGTACAGCCACTAGTACGCGTAGCGTTTCTGGCAGGTCCCTGGAATATGATCCCCTGCCACGAAGAATCGTTTTTTCATCCAAATACATATTTTACTGTTGCATTAAACAGAGGCTACAGTTAAGGAATTGCGCCCAGTAAATCCTCCCCGGCCAGGATACGAACCCATGACATAGCGCTCGCAGAACGCCAGGCGAGTGTCTTACCACTACACCACGGAGACTGTACATTAATTAGCTGTCGATTGCTGGTGTTGACTTTTTATGTGTAGTGCTTCACTAATGTCGAGCTGCCTGCTATCACTGTACCTATCGATGATTTCTGTGTTGTTTGTTAAGATTTCTCTGGTGATGGTCTGGTTGTGAGAAGAGATTATATGTTCCTTGATGGAGCCCTGTTGCTTATGCATTGTTAATCGCCTGGAAAGAGACGTTATTGTCTTGCCTAAATACTGCGTTCTTTGGGGCTTACAGTCCCCATGTGGCCATTTAAAGGCATTGACGATGTTGGTCTTCTTTAAGGCATTCTGCTTGGTATCTGGAGAGTTTTTCAAAAAATTCAAATTTAAATGTTTATTCAGGTAAAGTACATACATACAAGGGGTAATACAAATATTGATGAATTTATAGATAGAGCTAGTACATACAATGCCTAAAGCCACTATTACGCAAAGAGTTTCGGGCAGTGGATTTCGTTTCATGAGTGGATTGGCCGTTTTTGGGTTTTATAATAAATTGTCAATTGTATTTTCTGATTTTTGTCTATAGGGATAACATTCCTATCAACAATATCTTTCAGGACCCTTTCCTCTGTTTTATGAGCCGTCAAAAGGAAGTTCCTATAAAATAGTCTAATAGGGGGTACATGTGTTGTGTTGGTTGACTCTTCAGAGGTTGCATGGCATTTCACCTTTCTATTTATGTTGTCTTCAACGAAACCATTAGAGGAGCCGTTGTTGACTAGGACCTGCCTTACCCTATAGAGTTCTTCATCGACTTGCTTCCAATCTGAGCTGTGGCCGAGAGCATGGTCGACGCAAGCGTTACCTTGAGGTTACCTTGAGGTGCTTCCGGGGCTTAGTGTCCCCGCGGCCCGGTCGTCGACCAGGCCTCCTGGTTGCTGGACTGATCAACCAGGCTGTTGGACGCGGCTGCTCGCAGCCTGACGTATGAGTCACAGCCTGGTTGATCAGGTATCCTTTGGAGGGGCTTATCCAGTTCTCTCTTGAACACTGTGAGGGGTCGGCCAGTTATGCCCCTTATGTGTAGTGGAAGCGTGTTGAACAGTCTCGGGCCTCTGATGTTGATAGAGTTCTTTCTCAGAGTACCTGTTGCACCTCTGCTTTTCAACGGGGGTATTCTGCACATCCTGCCATGCCTCCTGGTCTCATGTGATGTTATTTCTGTGTGCAGGTTTGGGACGAGCCCCTCAATTATTTTCCACGTGTAAATTATTATGTATCTCTCCCGCCTGCGCTCAAGGGAGTACAGATTTAGGCTCTTTAGTCGGTTCCAGTAATTTAGATGTTTTACTGAGTGGATTCTAGCAGTAAAGGATCTCTGCACGCTCTCCAGGTCAGCAATTTCTCCAGCTTTGAAAGGGGCTGTCATTGTGCAGCAGTACTCCACTCTAGAGAGCACAAGCGTTTTGAAAAGTATCATCATCGGTATAGCATCTCTAGTGTGAAAAGTTCTTGTTATCCAACCTGTCATTTTTCTTGCAGTTGTGACGGCTACTTTATTGTGTTCTTTAAAGGTAAGGTCTTCCGACATGAGTACACCCAGATCCTTTACATTGCCTTTTCGTTCTATGTTATGATTTGTCCGAGTTTTGTACGTGGTTTCTGTTTTTATATTTTCAATTTTTCCATAGCGCATGAGCTGGAACTTACCCTCGTTAAACACCATATTATTTTCTGTAGCCCATAGAAAGACCTGATCTACATCTGATTGGAGGTTTGCCGTGTCCTCTATGTTGCCAACTCTCATGAAAATCCTAGTGTAATCTGCAAAGGATGATACAGTGCTATAGGTTGTGTTCTGGTCTATGTCCGATATGAGGATGAGAAAAAGTACTGGTTGATAACTGGAGCAAGCACAGTACGCTGGGGGACTGAGCTCTTCACGGTTGATGGCCTGGACTTTATTTTGTTGACTATTACACATTGGGTTCTGTTAGTCAGGAAATTGTAGATCCATCTGCCTATTTTCCCGGTAATTCCTTTTGAACGTATTTTATGTGCAATAACACCATGGTCACATTTATCAAAGGCTTTTGCGAAATCTGTGTAAATTACATCAGCATTTTGTTTGTCTTCCATAGCATCTAATGCCATATCATAGTGGTCCAGCAACTGCGACAGGCATGAGCGCCCTGTTCTGAAACCATGTTGTCCGGGGTTATGGAGATGCTGTGATTCCATGTATTTTGTGATTTTACTTCTTAGCACTCTCTCAAAAAATTTTATGATATGCGATGTTAGTGCTATCGGTCTGTAATTTTTTGCCTCTGCCTTATTTCCTCCTTTATGGAGTGGTGCTATCTCTGCTGTTTTTAGTATGTCAGGGATAACACCAGTATCTAGGCTTTGTCTCCACAGAATGTGAAGGGCCTGCGATAGTGGTTTTTTACAGTTCTTGATGAATATGGAGTTCCAAGAATCCGGGCCTGGTGCAGAGTGCATCGGCATACTGTTTATGGCTTCTTCAAAATCTAGTGGGGATAGGGTGACGTCTGATATATGATTTGATGTTGGTATCATATCCATGAAAAATACATTTGGGTTATCAATCTTTAGTGCACTTAATGGCTCGCTGAAAACAGAGTCGTACTGCTTCCTCAGTAACTCGCTCATTTCTTTGTTGTCATCGGTGAAAGTTCCATCTCCCTTTCGCAGGGGCCCGATACTAGATGTGGTTTTTTATCTTGATTTTGCATAGGAGAAAAAATATTTCGGATTTCTCTCTATTTCACTGATGGCCTTTTGCTCTCTTTGCCTCTCCTGGGTTTTGTATGATTCTTGTAGCTTCCGTTCAATTGTTTCTATTTCTCTACCTAACCTTCTTCGCCGTTCTTGAGATAGGGTGCGACTCTCAAGTTGTTCCGCGATTTGTTTTCTTCGCCTATATAGGGAACGACGTTCCCGTTCCAATCTGCATCTCTTTCTCTTTTTTCTTAGGGGTATGCGGTTTGAACATATTTCTAGTGCTACTGAGCTTATTTTTTCCAAGCACTGGTTCAGGTTTGCATTTTCTAGCTGTTCTTCCCAGTTTATTTCTGTGAAGTCTTGGTTTATTTGCTCCCAGTTTATCTGTTTATTATTGAAGATGAATTTGCTGAAATCTCCTCCACCGGGAATCTGGACTGGTTTTGAAGGTCCATTCCCCATGGTTGACAACACTCCTCTTGCACTCCTCTTGTACCTGTCTGGGCAGTCACTCTTGGCATTGAGGCACATTCCTATGTTGGTTTCCTTAGTGTAGACTGCAGTGTGGAAGCCTCAGCTCTTTTCCGTGACTGTTACATCCAGAAAGGGCAACTTCCCATTATTCTCCATCTCATAAATGAAGCTCAACACAGAATTCTGCTCAAATGCCTCCTTCAGCTGCTGCAGACATCTGGCATCAGGTACCTGCATAAAAATGTTGTCAACATACCTGCAGTATATGGCAGATTTCAAGCCCATGTCAACTAAGACCCTCTGCTCGATGGTACCCATGTAGAAGTTCACAAACAGGACACCTAGGGGAGAACCCATGGTGACCCCATCTACTTCCTTATACATGTGCCCATCTGGGCTCAAGAAGGGTGTCTCTTTAGTGCAGGCTTGGAGTAGTTTCCTCAGTGTGTTTTCTGGCATGTCAAGAGGAGTGCAAGCTGGGTTACGATACACTCTGTCTGCTATCATCCCGATTGTTTCGTCCACCGGCACGTTGGTATATAGTGACTATATCCAACGAGGCTCTTATCCCTGTGGCCTGCGCTCCCCTCAGTAGGTCAACAAATTCCTTGGGAGACTTCAGACTGAAAACAAAAGGTACGTAAGGAGACAGCAACCCGTTGAGTCATTTAGCCAGTCTGTATGTGGGTGTGGGTATTTGGCTGATGATTGGCCGAAGTGGGTTTCCAGGCTTGTGGGTCTTGACATTTCCATAGGCATACCCAGGTTTGTATTCCCCAAAAGCTTTTGGCAGGTGGAGTCCAGATTTCTTGGCATGCACAGTTTCAATCAATCTGTTTACCTTCGTTTTCAATTCAGAGATTATATTTATATTTATTTATTATATATATATTTATTTATTATATATATATATATATATATATATATATATATATATATATATATATATATATATATATATATACATATGTATATATATATATATATATATATATATATATATATATATATATATATGCGAACAAGCCTGAATGGTCCCCAGGACTATATGCGAATGAAAACTCACACCCCAGAAGTGACTCGAACCCATACTCCCAGAAGCAACGCAACTGGTAACTACAGGGCGCCTTAATCCGCTTGACCATCACGGCCGTCAAAAGGAAGTGATAGCTGAGGCTATTTGAGCCACTTCCCCGACGGCAACTCGGATGGTAATCTTGGGCATAGCATTTCACCAAATCACCTCATTCTTTGGGGCACACGTGAGGAACACAAATGCGAACAAGCCTGAATGGTCCCCAGGACTATATGCGAATGAAAACTCAAACCCCAGAAGTGACTCGAACCCATACTCCCAGAAGCAACGCAACTGGTAACTACAGGGCGCCTTAATCCGCTTGACCATCACGGCCGTCAAAAGGAAGTGATAGCCGAGGCTATTTGAGCCACTTCCCCGACGGCAACTCGGATGGTAATCTTGGGCATAGCATTTCACCAAATCACCTCATTCTTTGGGGCACACGTGAGGAACACAAATGCGAACAAGCCTGAATGGTCCCCAGGACTATATGCGAATGAAAACTCACACCCCAGAAGTGACTCGAACCACTACTCCCAGAAGCAACGCAACTGGTAACTACAGGGCGCCTTAATCCGCTTGACCATCACGGCCGTCAAAAGGAAGTGATAGCCGAGGCTATTTGAGCCACTTCCCCGACGGCAACTCGGATGGTAATCTTGGGCATAGCATTTCACCAAATCACCTCATTCTTTGGGGCACACGTGAGGAACAAATGCGAACAAGCCTGAATGGTCCCCAGGACTATATGCGAATGAAAACTCACACCCCAGAAGTGACTCGAACCCATACTCCCAGAAGCAACGCAACTGGTAACTACAGGGCGCCTTAATCCGCTTGACCATCACGGCCGTCAAAAGGAAGTGATAGCCGAGGCTATTTGAGCCACTTCCCCGACGGCAACTCGGATGGTAATCTTGGGCATAGCATTTCACCAAATCACCTCATTCTTTGGGGCACACGTGAGGAACACAATTTTCATTCGCATATAGTCCTGGGGACCATTCAGGCTTGTTCGCATTTGTGTTCCTCACGTGTGCCCCAAAGAATGAGGTGATTTGGTGAAATGCTATGCCCAAGATTACCATCCGAGTTGCCGTCGGGGAAGTGGCTCAAATAGCCTCGGCTATCACTTCCTTTTGACGGCCGTGATGGTCAAGCGGATTAAGGCGCCCTGTAGTTACCAGTTGCGTTGCTTCTGGGAGTATGGGTTCGAGTCACTTCTGGGGTGTGAGTTTTCATTCGCATATAGTCCTGGGGACCATTCAGGCTTGTTCGCATTTGTGTTCCTCACGTGTGCCCCAAAGAATGAGGTGATTTGGTGAAATGCTATGCCCAAGATTACCATCCGAGTTGCCGTCGGGGAAGTGGCTCAAATAGCCTCGGCTATCACTTCCTTTTGACGGCCGTGATGGTCAAGCGGATTAAGGCGCCCTGTAGTTACCAGTTGCGTTGCTTCTGGGAGTATGGGTTCGAGTCACTTCTGGGGTGTGAGTTTTCATTCGCATATAGTCCTGGGGACCATTCAGGCTTGTTCGCATTTGTGTTCCTCACGTGTGCCCCAAAGAATGAGGTGATTTGGTGAAATGCTATGCCCAAGATTACCATCCGAGTTGCCGTCGGGGAAGTGGCTCAAATAGCCTCGGCTATCACTTCCTTTTGACGGCCGTGATGGTCAAGCGGATTAAGGCGCCCTGTAGTTACCAGTTGCGTTGCTTCTGGGAGTATGGGTTCGAGTCACTTCTGGGGTGTGAGTTTTCATTCGCATATAGTCCTGGGGACCATTCAGGCTTGTTCGCATTTGTGTTCCTCACGTGTGCCCCAAAGAATGAGGTGATTTGGTGAAATGCTATGCCCAAGATTACCATCCGAGTTGCCGTCGGGGAAGTGGCTCAAATAGCCTCGGCTATCACTTCCTTTTGACGGCCGTGATGGTCAAGCGGATTAAGGCGCCCTGTAGTTACCAGTTGCGTTGCTTCTGGGAGTATGGGTTCGAGTCACTTCTGGGGTGTGAGTTTTCATTCATATATATATATATATATATATATATATATATATATATATATATATATATATATATATATATATATATATATATATATATATATATATATATCGATTAAATAAAAATTTAATTATTTTTTCTAAATTGGTGAAACCTTAGAAAATTGTTTTAATTTTGAGTTCCCCCCCCCCTCTCATTTGCTATAAAGAAGTTCCAAAATATTTTGTGATTCTAGAAAAGGGCAATGTTTCTGGCGAAGCCACTACTAGAAAAAATATAATCATCTAGAAATTACTATAAAATCAACCTGGATTTTCTGCGATTGCTTACATGAAACCAGATCTTTGACCACTGTTTGCATATCCAGATTTTAGAGGTTGCACTGAAATACTTTCAAACAAGAGTAGGCCTCCTTTCAACTAACTGTATGCTCACCTAACTTCTACATTCATAATACCAATTTTGTACATGCATTCAACACAGTACAGTCCTGTATATAAAAAAAATCAGTATTACCATTCTGTCCTTAAAGTTGCATAGACATAATATAATTATCATTCATTCTTTTGCACATTTAGATAATTTATGTATAATCCAAAATGTTTGTAAAAGATTAAATAAAGTGTGTGGGAGGATGGGGTGGGATTCCATCCTACTGCTAACATTATGAAAAGCAAATTGATTACCAGCAAAGGACAGAATCCCATTTCCCTATTTTTAGCCAATTGATGGCTGCCTGTACAGAAGTGCCTTCCGAGGACCTGAGGGATCATCCTGCTCTTCACCCAGACAATGCTACCCTTCATTAACAATAATACTTAAAATTTATGGTACACTTTCTTATCAATTTACTTTTAACTGTACTATATTAGTTTCTTGAAAAACTTACCTCATATGTAGCCAATCGGTCGAGATAAGTCAGCAATTTCTGCCGAGCACGTATCACAGTTTTCTGTTCAAGCGTTAGGTTCTTAAAGTCAATCTGCAGAAAGAAGTGGACATTTTTATTTTAATTATAACCATTAATTAAGTGTGGATTTCCTCTTTTCACACATTATAAAGTAAGTTGTTGACCGAATATGAAAAGCTATTTTTCTGAGCATGACACCCAAATTACCACTCATTGAACAAATAAAATATTCCCTGGCAGTCCATCATGCTAGTTGCAAAAGAGTATGACTTAAAGAAAGCGAAGTACAGTAATGTTATGATTGACTGTGGTATCATAACTCTTATTTGACATTTCTGTGGGAAGCCCCTACAGCTCCCTGGAGCTTATTGGGCTAATGTATGTTATATTAGACCGGGACATTAGCTAAGGAGTTCAGACCTAGCAGGGACCAGCGCCAGAACCTGGCCCCTTCAGAAAGGTTTTAGGGAGCAATGGCCCTGGAAAACCCCCCTTGAGGTTGGGGTTTTCCTTATCTGCCATCGACTGGGGTTAGGCACCCAGAAAGGTAGGCAGGAACCCCATCAACCAGGTATCAACCAGGCATAACAAAACAAACCCCACATGGTAAAAAACTAAAACAAAAAAACAAGAGTTATAAACTCCCTACAATCCCCAGGAAACAAGCAAACATCACACTTTACTGCCACACCGATCGTCCGTGCAGCCCTCCCCGCCCCAAGAGGGGGAGGGGGGAGCCCCGGACCTCACCCCGCCAGCTGCCTAGCATCAGTTTGTAAGCTAATGTCAACTGGGACAAACGCTTCTCTGGCCTCAGTTTCCTAAGCGGTGTTTGCCTTTCGTGGCGTTCACTGCCGTGTGTTGTGTTGTGCGGTGGCCAGGTGTTCCTCATCAGTACCGGGGCTGCATGCGCTTAGGGGCTTCCTTCCCTAAGCGCCCTGTGAGTACTGCCCCTGCGTGACAGGGTTATCTTCCCTTGGGTGTTCGGGAACCATTCCCATAGAGGTTCTTGCTGCTCTGCATTTGCCTCGCTCTTGGGGCGAGATGGGGCTTGGGGCCCTTGTTTGGCCCCTGGGTAGGGACTGGTATTGTGCTGGTTAGGGCATCAAGGTGTTGTGCGACCTGCCACCTAAGCGGTGACCGGTTCCTGTTGCCTCTGGGGACGGTGTACTTTTGCAGAGTTTTTCTTTTGTTTTTATTTTCATTTGCCTGATGGGGCTCTGCCCAGTGTGGCTATAGTTCCACTGGTAGTGTTTGGTGACCCTCTGCTAGGCCCCCGTGATTGTACATGTAGCAGGGGTTTTCAGTGTTGTCCTCTACCCCCTTTTTAGTTTTGGGTTTTAATCGGTTAGCAACACCTTGCCCGGGCTTCCCATAGTTGTTTCCCTACAGGCCCTGGAACACCCTGTCGGGGCTCGGTGGACCATTGAATGTGTCTTCCGGGTTCCAACCCGTTCTTGTACGGGTTCGTTGGTTGCTGTGTCCTTGTCTCCGGGTGGCAGTCGCCACTTTTACCTCCGTCATGTTGCCTGTTGGATCACTGACACCTTGACCCGGAGTCTTGCGAGAGATATTCTCTGCTTGTTCTCTAGTACTCTCCTGATGTTATTATTGTTCAGAGTACAGGCAGCATCCGTGTTGCAAGCTAGGTTAGGTTGCTGCAACACGCTAGGTTGGTTTCCCACTCGGATGCCCCAGGGTCGCCACATTTTGGTTCGGTGCTGTTCGCCCCTTTCCCTCCCTGTTCCCGACTCCGGACCATCGGCGGGTTTCGGGGTCGGAGCAGGGTTTAGTTGGGGGTGAGACTCGGGCAGTTCCGGTGGGTGCATTACATAACCAATATAGGTTATGTAAATTGTCATGAATTTTTAACTTCAAGATGTGTGGCATCAATCAAGAAGACGAACAACAACAAGGTAAGTTGATGTTTCTAGTTGAATATTTAATAATTATATGTGGCAAAGCAATTCAAATTATGTTGTTTGTAGTATAAAAATAGTTGGAAATGGTCACTTTTGGACTCGGAGGTGAAAAGGTACCATTATCCGGAACACGTGATTATCCGGCTGGAGGTCCTTCCCATATAGTCCGGATAATCGAGTGGAGACAGTATTTGCAATCAAGGCAATGGAAAGGTCTAGTACCATACACTGCATGAATTTCGTGTCTAGTACCATACACTGCATAAATTTCATAACAGTGGGAGGCATCTTGGAACAAAATAAAACAAGAAATGTAAAAATTCAAATACAGAACCAGAACAAACATGAGCGCATTGTCTGCATAAAAATTTCAAACAAAAAGCACACACTAGCCTGCATAAGAAGTTCATGCTTCCTCTTGAATTCTTTGGCTGCTCTCTCTTGGACTTGGATTTCATACTCGCTGGGGTCTATGTCAAACCCTTCATCATAAATCAGATCAGAATCACAAGGAATGAATTCACCATCATCGGTTTCATTACCAATAGCAATAATTGCCTGAAATAATATATTAAATATGAATGATGTGTGGCTAAAATAATGCAACAGTTCAACATTCAAAGCAATGGGTTTTATTTTAAATTTCCATCAATGATGCTCTATTCACTTCAAAACGATTTGTGCATATATTAAGCCCCATGCAAAACTATCTATTCTGCTAGGTGAACAGGTGAATCATGTGAAAGGAAATTTCCTCAACCATTTCTGTCCTCTCCAGGAATTGGACTCTGATCCCTCAGTTGTGAGTCAAGACATAGTCATAGTTTTTTAGAACTAGAAACACATTACTACATAAACTCTGGTATAACTATACTCAATTGGTTATAAGCTCAGTCATGAATAACTGACAGGTAAACCAATATCTAATGATCAGAATTCTTCCATTTTAATATTCCAACAAGTGAAGTTTTATGCCAGTTATACCATGTATAACTGAAAGTTTAGTCAAGTATTACCTCAAGATCCGTCCCACGAAGGCCATACATAAGCAGCTCTCGAGCAGCATCAATATTTTCTGGAACACGACTTACACACTCGGCCAGAACCCAAGACCTTTTGTGAATCTTGGCAAGGTAATCTTGTATGGAGGCAACTGTCACTGAACTTCTCCGCCACTGTTGTTGGTACACTCGGTCACAGTCGAGACTGTCGTGGGATTGGAAAAGCTTTTAAAAACCTGTTAGTTAAACGTATTTTAAGATATACGACTTAGGCCCAAATCTCTGTGCCCAACAGGTGGGTTTACATAATAAACAATTACTTAACCCACTATGTAACCAATTTAACTTTTCCTATGTAATGGCTATTGCATGAATAAAATTACTGTCATTATTATTAATTATTGTTATTACAGTACTCAGTATTTTATTACAATAGTCATTTTCAAAAGTGTACATAAAAGACTTTACACACTTATTTTAACGAGATTCCATAATAAAAAATTTAAACATTTATTAAGATTGAAATCTATTAACTTCACCAGGAAAAAAGGAGTGTTACCTAACCATTTAACCAACAACTCAAAATTATTATCGACATTCGGTTTTCATAATAAATCAGTATGTAAAGGCAACTACAAATATATTAATGCAATCTAAATTTTTAATGTACTGTTTAGTCATTTTAACAATGTCAACTCTCAATATTATTAAAGTAAATAATTATGACAAGACGGCACCAAGCCAGGAAGACTATGTAGCAGGACAGAAATAAAGAATATATTGTACATTCTCAGCATGGTTCACATTTCTGCTAGAATACACCATATACAAACATTTTACTGTAAATTGTACAAGGCAGTTATGAACTTGGAAAGAAAGAAAATTCTGAGCAGAAAGCACTAAACCAGTATAACTATAGAGTATAGCTAGGGGCTTGGAAACAGCAATTAATAAAGCGAACAGAGAATACAAAGTCTGTATGCAGTTAGTATAATGTTGTTATATGTTTTGAAGACCTTTCATACAGGAAGCTGGACATGTGTGTGAGCTTTTGGTGCAATTAATGAATGCTTTGATATTTATTTAGGGAAAGCATAGGTCCGTTAAAAATTGAATCAGGTCAAATAACGGATAATGACGAGGAGATGAGTAATATTTCTAATATTTTATATCTGTATTTACTAAAGAGGAACTTAACAATATGCTTTCAGCTGAACAAGTCTATGTGGGGTGGGGATGAGGACAGGTTGACTAGTTTAGCAGTTACCAGGGAAGATGTAATTAAACAAATAGTAAAACTAAAAACAAACAAATCCCCTGGGCTGGATGAAGTGTTTGCCAGGGTGCTTAAAGAATGCAAAGAGGAGCTTTGCGAGCCACTGTCTACCATATTTAATAAATCAATAGAGTCATGGAAGGTTGCTGATGTGGTACCAATTTTCAAGAAAGGAGATAGATCACTTGCATCAAACTATCGGTCAATTAGCCTAACGTCAATTGTGGGAAAGTTACTTGAATCGATAATTGCAAATACAATTCGTCTTCATCTTGAAAAACATTAATTAATAAATGAGTCGCAACATGGTTTTACAAATGGCCGTTCATATTTAACAAATTTGCTATCTTTTTATTCCAGCATAGTTGAGGCAGTTGATAGTGGTAAGGACTGTGATATTGTGTACCTTGACTTTAGCAATGCTTTTGATACAGTGCCACATGAAAACTGATTAAAAAAATAGAGGCTTATGGTATTGGGGGTGCTATATTAACACTTTCGCCCGGCGATAACTCAGCATTGAGTCCTCAGCAAAATAGGGACAGGTCCGGCGAGGACTCAGCATTGAGTCCTAACTGCGGCAACAGTAGCGTTTTTTTCGGGAAGGTCTTGCTGCAGTTTTGGACATTATATGCATATACTCTTGTAAGGAATTTCATTGCGAATACATTGATACCAAAATTAAAGTCCTAGGACCAGAATTGAGGTAACAAAGTTGAAAACAGATTACCCATTTTATTGCTCTTTATTAGCGCTCACGGGGGTAACGCTCTGTCACTTTCCCTATTTGTTGATGGTATGCCAGGCTTTTGGACTTCATATTTGCATACTCCTGTAGGGAATTCTATTGCAAAGACAATAATACCAAAATGAAAGACTTAAGACAAGAATTGATATGTCCAAAGTGAAGAGAGTGTACACATTTTATTGCTCTGGCTCGCTCCCGGGTAACACGCTCTCACTTTCTCGCCGGGCTTTTGGGCTTTATATGCATTTAGTCCTGTAGAGAATTCTATTGCGAACACATTGATACCAAATTGAAAAACCTAGGACGAGAATTGAGATGACAAAGTTGAAAAGAATATTCACTTTTCATAGTGAGAAGCGCCTTGGGGTGGCGCAGCGCTCTCTTTCTTGTAACCGCGGCCTGTTTTCATCATGTCGGCGGGTGGAGATCACTGCTGTTTTTTATATTATATGCATATAGGCCTGTTGGGAATTCAATTGCGAACACATTGATACCAAAATGAAAGACCTAGGACGAGAATTGAGTTGACAAAACTGAAGAGTGTAAACATTTTATCACTCTTGTGCGCTCCCGAGTAACTTTCTCTGTTAGTTGCGGATGGTAAGCCGGGCTTTTGGAGTTTATTTGCATTTAGTCCTGTAGAGAATTCTATTGCGAACATATTGATACCAAATTGAATATCTTAGGACGAGAATTGAGCTGATAAGTTGAAAAGATTATATACTTTTCAGAATTTACCTCGCTCTCCCTCGCGCTCCCGCGGAACACCCAAGCCCACCTGAGGTAGTGGGGAGGTCCCGGGCCCAGTGCATCAAAGTGTTAAGTTGGATTAGGGAATGGCTATTCCAAAGGAAACAAAGTGTTAGTATAAATGGGGTTAAGTCAGAGTGGGATAATGTTGTTAGTGGAGTGCCTCAAGGCTCTATCCTGGGACCTTTGTTGTTTATAATATATATAAATGATTTAGATTCAAGTTTGAGTAGCAACATCTGCAAATTTGCTGATGATACAAAAATCGGTAGGGAAGTTAACACGGAAGAAGAGTCACTATCACTTCAAGTTGATCTAAATAGGGTTTTGAAATGGTCAAATGATTGGCAGATGCAGTTTAATGCTGATAAATGTAAAGTTTTGAGGTTAGGTAATGATGATAGAGTTACAAGATACCAGCTAGATGGTGTTGAGATTGCGAAGTCGGATTGCAAAAGGGATCTGGGAGTTATGATTAGTAAGAATTTAAAACAAAAGGATCACTGCATGAATGTTCGTAATAAGGCAAATAGGACACTGGGATTTATTTATCGAAGCGTTAGTAACAAGACACCTGGTGTTCTTCTTCAGCTATATCTTGCTCTGGTTAGGCCCCATTTAGATTATGCAGTTCAGTTTTGGTCGCCGTACTATAGAATGGATATAAATTCACTTGAACGTGTCCAGCGTAGGATGACTAAGTTAATTCCCCAAATTAGAAATCTTTCATATGAAGAAAGATTAACAAAGCTTAAATTGCATTCACTGGAAAGGCGAAGAGTTGGGGTGACATGATAGAGATTTACAAGTGGATGAATGGACACAACAAAGGGGATATTAATAGGGTATTAAAAGTGTCAACACAGGACAGAACACGAAACAAATGGGTATAAATTGGATAAGTTTAGATTTAGGAAAGACTTGGGTAAATACTGGTTCGGTAATAGGGTGGTTGATTTGTGGATCCAATTACTGCGTAACGTGGTGGAGGTGGGGTCCCCCGATTGTTTCAAGCATGGGTTGGACATGTATATGAGTGAGATTGGATGGTTATAGATAGGAACTGCCTCGAATGGGCCAATAGGCCTTCTGCGGTTCCTTTGTTCTTATGTCTTCCCTAACTGTTAATGGCAGCTGGCCACTGCTTCCCTTTGGGTGGTGGTGGGAACCACTGCATCTTGCCTCATTGACAGTGTGAAAGCGGATAACACCACCATTAGGGTTTATGGCGGTGTTTTTGTTGCATACTCGGCAAAAAACTCTTTTAGGAGTAGTTGTTGGTACCTCAAGGCTTGTGGAGTCCTGCCCGACCTCTGGAACCCCTTCCATTTCAACTCGGTTGGGAGAGTTAAACTGTGCATTGTTCTATAGAGGGGAAAATACACTGGGTCATGGCCAAGCAACTGCCAGCAACTGGGTGTGTGGAGCCAGCAACTGGGTGTGTGGAGCCAGCAACTGGGTGTGGAGGCATCAACTGGGTGTGGAGGCATCAACTGGGTGTGGAGGCATCAACTGGGTGTGGAGGCAGCAATTGGGTGTGGAGCCAGCAACTGGGTGTAGAGCCAGCAAATGGGTGTGGAGCCAGCAAATGGGTGTGGAGCCAGCAAATGGGTGTGGAGCCAGCAAATGGGTGTGGAGCCAGCAAATGGGTGTGGAGGCATCAACTGGGTGTGGAGGCATCAACTGGGTGTGGAGGCATCAACTGGGTGTGGGGCCAGCAACTGGGTGTGAAGGCATCAACTGGGTGTGGGGCCAGCAACTGGGTGTGGGGCCAGCAACTGGGTGTGGAGGCATCAACTGGGTGTGGGGCCAGCAACTGGGTGTGGGGCCAGCAACTGGGTGTGGGGCCAGCAACTGGGTGTGGGGCCAGCAACTGGGTGTGGGGCCAGAAACTGGGTGTGGGGCCAGCAACTGGGTGTGGGGCCAGCAACTGGGTGTGGGGCCAGCAACTGGGTGTGGAGGCCGCGGCTGGGTGTAGAGGCCGGGTGGGGCGAGGGTCAGCTCAGGTAGTGAGATGGTGGGGATGGGGGTCGGTTTGGGGGGGGGGAGGCGTAGTATCGAGTGGGCTATACAGATGACACACAATATACATTCATATATATGTAAACCAGGGTATGTATGACACTGAGAATATATGGGTTGGCACTTTGTCATATGTATGACACTATAAACTGGGGTTGGCACTTTGCGGTGTGTATGGCACTGAGTATCGGAGTTGGCACTTTGAGATGTATGTCACTATGGCACTATATATACATGGTATGCACTTTGTATGTCAGGGCCACAAAGTATACAGTAAACAGACAGAAATTGTTCACTATCATTCACTGAGCCTGTGAGGGAGGTGGTGGGGTGGTGTGGTGGTGAGGGGAGTTTGAAATGGGCCACTACCAGCTTCCTCCGCCTGACCTGTGAGCGGGTGCTCTTAGTGACGCCTTACTCTAAGGTTCACTTTCCCTCACGCGCCTCCCTCTGCCCCTGCCCTTTCCCATCCCGCCCCAGCCGTTAAGGTGGTAGGCCTCCCTCACTGGCACTGTTTCTGGCGAGTTCAAGCATGGCAAGCCGGAGAAAATTGTAAAATATCGTTGACTGGGACAATGGAGGGACTTCAAACGCCAAAGATGTTTTCTAATGATGTTCACGTATGTCCTGACCGACACCTCACCTGCTTGGCCTCACTGTTTTGTGATAAAGTATGAAGGTAACCCGGAGCTCCACGGTGCCCCAAGGGTATGTATGTACTGTATGTATGTATGTGTGTGTGTGTGTGTATGTATTTATTATTATATATATAATATATATATATATATATATATATATATATATATATATATATATATATATATATATATATATATATATATATATATATATATAAATAATATCTCAAAACTCAGTTTTTTAAATGCTTTTCAAGTACATTGTTTATACCAATTAAAAGCAAATTCCATTTATAAACTGAATGGTACCCAACGTTTCAATTGGTTATGAATGAATCAACACGTTAAAATAAAAATAAGAAAACAGAAAAAACTTCTTTCAGATATATTGCTGACTATTGTACAGTACTGTATATAAAGTAATGAATGTTAAAGTAACAGGAAGGAATTTAACCTTGTGTTCCTATTCAGTTAACGTGTTACACAGTTTGTGTTTTTAGGCTAAAGAGTAAAAATTATTTTCATAAAATATGTCTATATATTATAGACAGTTTAATATTGCACTGTAGTGATGGCCAGACTTATGTTATGCATCACTATCATGCCACAGACTATTTCAATACATCAATGTATTGAAATACATTGGATGGCATAAAACAATCCAAGATTTGAGTAAAATATAAAGTATTGTAATATGGAAATTTAAATTACATTATTTACAATTACACCCAGCATGATATAGTAAATGAACAAATATTATTTTTTTATCTGTAGTCTTCTTTTTCTGTAGGCTAGTACCTCCCTATCTTCTGGCTTTTTTTGTTATAGTTTATTTTATACTACTGATGAGTTTCATTTATAAAATGCTAACCATCATACATACATTTTCTTTTCTAGACAGATGACTTTCCCATCTCATGAAAGTGTGAAAAAGGGTAAAGCACTATGGCGGTGGAAAAGGGTAAAGCACTATGGCGGTGGGGATCAACTTACCTGTAACTGTTAGCGAGTGCCAATGCTTCTCCGTATTCTTCATTCTCAATTTTTCGAGCAAATAATTCCTCTGGAGTTGTACTCTTCAGACACAGCAGACGGAATGTTCTCTGCACAATTTTGGATCTCTTGCTTGGAGGCCGAAATCTAGTTTAGGTAAAAACTAAAATTGTCACGGCAGTACATAATTAACCCTTAGACCGTGCAATACATATATAGATGATTTGAGAAACAAAACCAGAACAGCGCAATACATTAATAGCTGTTTTAGTGTCTAGCGCCTTAATTTAAATGCCCCGCGTGGGATAGGAGCAGCTATAGTGCAGCCACGACCGATAGTTGACAGACACCACCTAGAAAAAAAAAATCGTGACCAACATTCCTGGGTGTGAGAGCCTCAGTACTGAGCGAGCCACCAAGGCTGACGCACGCACCATGAGCGCACAGCACTGCTGTTCAGCTTGTGACCACAGCATCACCTAAAAATGTTAAAATATACATGTTCATGCTATTATTTAGCAATGATAGTATTACAGAAGATCCCTGACTGTGATAAAAATGACCAGGATTCTGATAATAGCAGGATTGTGGTGATATTTAGCACTGTGCTCTATGGAGGGAGGAGTAATGCTGTGGGAGGGAAGGTGGTGGCATTGTCTTCTGACTGTGTGTGTGTGGCCACCTTTTATTGACTGCACTCACCATACCAGCTTAGTGGTTCGCTATGGTGAACACAAATGTAGATACTTATATATAACGCGAGTATAGAGTATAACAGCAGCAATAGGAGTAGGTTGGGAGCCGCCATTTTGGTGAGGGAGGTGCATCGTCTGCACGACTTGTCATGTTTACTGGTGGCCACTATGGTCTTTGGGCACCATACCAGCTTATTTGTACAGGTATGGTGAATAAAACATGTAGATACTTATATATATACGTGTATATAGCATAATAACACCATAAACAATATTGTTGGAGAAATATTAGTGTGTCTGGCCTTGAGGGCGGCCACCACCAGCTGACTGTGTGAAGAGCTACATCTTTGTGACTTTACTCACCATACAAGCTTAGATGTACAGTTATGGTGAACAAAACATGTAAATGCTTATATATAACATCTGTGTATAGTGAATAATTGCAAAAACAGTATTGTGGGAGGAGAATGAGGGCGAGTGAGGTGTTGAGGGAGAGAGTGGTAGCGAGTGGCTGGCGCTGGCTGGTATGTGGCGGCCACTCCTCGTTGCATTTTGACTCACAATACCAACTTAGTGCTTCGTTATGGTGAGCAAAACATGCAAATATTTATATATAACCTGTGTATATAGTGTAATAACAGCAAAACTGTTTATTGCTTTATGAACATAATTGAATCACTAATATGCACACCATAATTTTGAGTACAGCGATGGTTCACACATTTCATTACATATATATATCACAATACACACTATTGAATAATATTACTGCAAAAAAAGATAAAAAAATCAGAGAAATTGAAATAATTAGGTACAGTATATATAATATATTTGTGGCAACTGCCGCCTGACAGCTCGGGCGGAGTAGACCTCGTCTGACAAAGGCTCTGTCAATGCCCCTTTTTTGCCAGACTTCCCTACCCTATTGCGGCTAAAATATGCCACCTACGATTTTTTGTTATTTTTTCCGTGATCAGGGAACACAAATGAACACTTTTATAAGACAAAAAAAAATTTGGATTTTTGTTGTTGTTGCGCCTGTGGGTGTTGAAGTAATTATGACCTTTAGTGGCCCTAGGGTTAAAATCAAAAATCAAAAATATGAAATTTTAAGTTGCATCTATATATCCAGTACTTTAATGTATTGCCTTGCTCTAAAGAAGATTAGAGCCAGATTAATAACTGGAAAGGATAGTGGAAACATTCAAGAATGGAAGGAGTATTTGTGCTACAGGTTGTCAAGGGCTGCTGGAAAGGAAGCATAACTCAAATTAGAATTTTGATTGAACTAAATCAATGATCTAAAACAGAAATTGAAGAATGATTCCTTCATTATTTTACACAATTGCATACATGCAAAATGTTGGTTCACAAAATACGAAATAAATAAATCTACAGTATATACAGAAAACAAATCCATTAGTCCATGCACCATATTGTACCCACTCAAAATTCCAAGTCTGGTAATGTGTAGTCTGACACCAAATGCACAAAAGCATTCAGAGTCATGTTAAATATTGTTTTTTAACAATAATAATACAGTACTGTACTTTATTACATTGAATTTTATTGAATACAGTTTGTTTATTCCTGCTTAAATACATTCATACATAGTAATCACTTCGTTTCTTCCATTTTCACTTCATTGTGGAAGCGAACATTACTAAACTTTATGTAATACCTGTATATCCCCCTCGCTTCCTTAATTAACACATTTTCCTACATATACAGTATTAAAAATTATTGAACATATATTAACTTTTATTCAATACAGTAAATTAGGATATACAGGGGTGCCTCGGTTTAAGAGTTTAATTCGTTTCTGAAGACAGCTCGTAATCCGAAAACTCGTAAACGGAAGTTAATTTTCCCATAAGAAATAATGGAGAAATGAATTAATCCATTCCCGACTACCTAAAACCTAACTTCAAACTAAATTTTTAACCTAATTCATCGAAATTTACATTACAAAACAATGTTCAAGTTATTATTTACCCTTGCTGATGACTACTGTTGGTGTATGGAAGATGGTGAGGGGGGGGGGGGGGAAGGTGGGAGAAGGAGAGGTGTTACTGTTTGGAAGAGGAGTGCCCTTCCATTATAACATCAGGCAGTGAGGACCTCTCTGGGGTGCATTCTCTGGCATGTTTTGCCAGCATACCACTAGGTCCTGGTTGTGGCTCACTGCTCGACTTTCTCACAACAAAGCAGTCCATTGATGATTATTTTTCTCTTCTTCGCAAGATATGTCGTCTGTAGTGAGGCATTACATTGTCACTGAAAAAGTTAATGCAACGGCTTACTACAGCTTTCTCTAGATGAGTCGTTTCAATAAAAGTTTGCATTTCTTCCCACTTCTGACACCACTTCTTAATGGTTGCGGAAGGGACATTCGCTACTGCCTTATCCTCCTACTAAGGATAAACATCCTCAGCTGTGTCTTCTTGCTGTTCCTTTTGAAGGGCTTGGAGTTCTTCGGTGGTCAGTTCTTCGTTGTGTTCTGCCACCAACTCTTCCACATCATCGCCATCCAATTCCAAGTTCATTTGCCGGCCCAGAGCAACAATTTCCTCAACCATAGGCGCATCATTTAGAGGCTCAAACCCCTCAAAGTCTAGTTCTGTCACACATTCAGGCCACAATTTTCTCCAGCCAGAGATCAGGGTTCTTTGATTCACTTCTTGCCAGGCTTTGTCAACGAGTTTTAAAGGACTAAAAATGTTAAAATGGTGTTTCCAGAACTCTTTGAGGGTGAGTTTTGTGGCTTCAGTCACTTCAAAACATTTCTGGAAAAGTGCCCTTTCATAAAGTTTCTTAACACTATCACTCACTTTAGACACCGATCACGTCCAATTTTTTTTCTCTAGAGTCCTAGGCATGGACAGCATTTGCATCCATTACAAAAATATTTGTATAAAATTCATTTTATATCTGATCGACTTCGGGATAGTTTCAGAAAAATGCCTTTAGAGGGCGCATAATTTGATACCAAAATGAAATATATAACACGAAACTCGATGTCAGAACACTTGAAATATTATAAATACGTTTTTGGTCAAAATTTTAAAATATTTGTTAAAATTCTATTTATTGTGCAATTATTTTGGGACTAGTTTTAAAATGCGCGCTTTTACGTTGCGAACAATTTGATACCAAAATGAAAGATGTAACACAAACATTTATGTCAGAACACTGGAAAGATATAAATAATTTTGTGATGATGAGCTTCCAGAATTAAAATATTTGTTAAAATTCCAGTTATTGCTCTATTATTATGGGACTTGTTTTATTATAACCGACTTTTTATTGCGAAGAATTTGATACCAAAATGAAAGATGTAACACAAAAATTTATGTTATAAAACTGAGCGCGTATACACATTAGGTTGCAGTGTGCCAATTGGTGCTCATTTACGAGTAATTTTAGGCTTTCCTGCAAGGAGGCACGCCGGGCTTTTATATATTATATGCATATACACCGTAGGGAATTTAATTGCAAACACAATGATACCAAAACAAACGATGTAGCACGAGAATTAAGGGGAGAAAACTGAAATGAGTGTACACATTTTACTGATTTTGTGCGCTCACGGGACACTTTTTGCCAATTTTAAGCTTTGCTGTTGGGAGTCACGCCAGGCTTTTGGACATTATATGCAAATACACCTGTAGGGAATTCTATTGCGAACACAATGATACTAAAACGAACGACGTAGCATGAGAATTAAGGTGAGAAAACCGAAACGAGTATACACATTTCCGTGTCACCGCGCGCTTGCCTGTACGCTCGTCCACACGTCGGGGGCATGATCTCTAAGTTGGCGGCGTGCATGCCCGGGGCGCGATAGTGTTAAAATTTGCTATGATTTTCTGGTCCATAGGTTGAATTAGAGGAGTGGTGTTAGGAGGAAGGAACTTTACTTTGAGAAATTTACTGTATCTGTGCAACAATTCATCTTCCAATCCTGGAGGATGAGCAGGAGCATTGTCGAGGAGAAGCAGGGCCTTGAGTGGCAAATGTTTCTCCTGCAGATATTTTTCTATGGCAGGGCACACCACTTCATTCACCCACTCCGAAAAAAAAATCCTAGTCACCCATGCCTTATTATTAGCCCTCCACATCACGCACATTTAGTTTTTCTGCACTTTATACTGTTTGAAAACCCTTGGATTTTCAGAATGATACACAACAAGGGTTTAATTTTCAAATCGCTAACCACATTTGAACACAGCACAAGCGTAAACCTATCTTTCATAGGCTTGTGTCCGGGCAATGTTTTTGCTCCTTGGTAATGTATGTCCTCTTAGGCAGTCTTTACCAGAACAGTCCTGTCTCATCACAATTAAACACTTGTTGCTGTATGTATTCCTCAGCCTCTGCAAACTCTTTAAATTCTTCAATAAATCTTTCAGCCGCTGGTTTGTCTGAGCTGGCGGCCTCCCCATGCCTCAC